TCCCTGGGCAGCCTGTTCCAATGCCTGATAACGCTTTCAATGAAGACATTTTTTCTAATATCCAATCTGAACCTCCTCCGATGCAACTTGAGGCCATTTCCTCTCGTCCTATCTTAGAAATATAAGGTGTCATGTTACTTGGTGGAAGAGACTGACACCCACCTCATTACAACCTCCTTTCAAGTTGTTGTACAGGGCAACAAGGTCTGCTTTGAGCCTCCTTTTCTCCAGACTGAAAAACCCCAGTTCCCTCACCTGCTCTTGGTAAGATCTGTGCTCTAGACTCCTCACCAGCTTCATTGCTCCTCTTTGGACACATAATATGTACAACATTTGTTTGAAACAAATAGGAAAAAGAGCTTTTTGACCAGGAATAAAATGTTGGTCGCACAAATAGCCTATAAAATTGATTTAATTTAAATGTTCTGACTCCTTGTCACCGTTTGACTCAGGTCCAACAACAATGCTCTCGATCCCCTCCCCCTCCCAACCAGGTAGGGAAGGAGAGAAAGAAAAAGAGAGAGACTTGGCTGGATTGAAAACTAAACTACACAGCTTTAATTAAAACACTAATGAATAATACAAGAAAATATATACAATTATATACAAATATGTTCAGATATGGGCAAAAGCCTCTCTCCTCCCCCCACCCCTCTGCAACTCCCACAGCACTTCCCTGACCTGGGAAGAGTCCCGAGGAATCCCAGAGCTGCTGCTGGAGAGGGAGCAGAGTGATGAGGATCAGGAGAGCTCGAGCTTGGGGTTTGATGGTGATGGATGGATGGAGTCCTCCCCAGGCACTGGCCATGGATGGAAGAGAAGGGAAGAAGAAGCAGGAAGGAAGTTGTCTTCTGTCATCTCTGACCTTCCTCTGAGCTTACGTAGATATATGGAATGGAATATCTCTGGCCAGTTTTGCTGTCCGTCTAACTCAGCCTCCTACGGGGGGGTCACAGATCTCCCCACAGTGTCTGAGCCGGCAGAGTGCAGGTGCAGCCTTGAAGCCTCAGTAGTTAGAAAAACATTCCACTGTCTTATCAGCCTAGCAGAACACACTGTTGCTAGTTAAAAGAAAGCTTACTGAAGGAAAAAAAAATCAGTAAAAAGAAAAATTGGCTTCATCCTGGCTCAAACCAGGACATGATCCTTCTGTAAAGAGATAAACATGAAGACACAAAGTCTTTGGGAGCAGAAACCTAGTGAATGAAGGGTCTTTGTCAACACTGATGAAAAATCCTGGGGAGAAAGTGTGCAGGAAGACTGATGGAAATGATTAACCGAGCTAAAGGGCATCACACCTGTCTGCTGACATCAACACAAGTGGTGAAAAAGGCAGTGAAAGCTTAGGAGGAATAGGAGGAGCTCTCTGTTTACTGGATCATGGAAAGAAGGCACAGAAACGGGGAACAGATCTCGCTCCTGTAAGCTGGCTCAGTACCATGCAAGAAACCAGGCTAACTGAAGCCACCAGCATCTTCTTACTTCCATTTTCACATTAATATTTCTCTTAGTTTTACCCTCTTGCTGTCTTTTCATTTTGAGGGTTCCTAATATTCCAGCATCAAATGCACCTCATGTACCAATATAAGTTAGGGGAGGAGTTTATGGAGAGCAGTTCAGAGGAGAAGGATCTGGGAGTCCTGTTAGATAGTAAATTATCCATGAACCATCAACATGCCCTTAGTGCCAAGAGGGCCAATGGAATCCTGAGTTGCATAAGGAAGAGTGTGGCCAGAAGGTCAAGAGAGGTCATTCTGCCCCTCTATTCTGCCCTGGTGAGGCCACATCTGGAACACTGCATCCAGTTCTGGGCTCCCCAGTTCAAGAGAGACAGGGAACTACTAGAGAGAGTTCAGTGGAGGGCAACAGAGATGACTGGGGGATTGGAGCATCTCTCTTATGAGGAAAGGCTGAGAGAGCTGGGACTCCTTAGCCTCTATAGAAGTAGATTATACAGAAGGTAGGGTTTACTTTCTTTGCAAGTGTTACATTGTAGTCACTGGTCGGCGTTAGTTGTGGGTGTCAATGTTTTATTTTTTATTTCAGAACGTTTGTTTGATGGAAGCAAAAAATAATATGCCTTGCTGTGGGGTAAGCAATCCAGCTAACTTGAGTCCATTTTAAATGGACACTTGAGACAGATTCTGCTGCAGCAGAGCAGACCAGTACCATCAGTGTACAGGACAAAATGCACTTGGATGGGAGAAGAAAAAGATGCCACAGGAACAGAAATGGTATAGAAAAAAAGGAAAGGGTTTACATGCAACAGACAGGGATCAGAAAGGATGGGAGGCTTTGTCTTCATGGGTTAGAAATAGCTGAACTGATCCACGAAGACCATCATTAAACCAGCTTTAATAATGTGCTGTCATGAAGAGGAAATTACTTTCACTCTCAAAATGAGCAGACTATAGAAGGATGCTTAGAGATGGCTTGTGAGGCTGCAGCTGGTTTCTTATTCTCCTTCTTTTTTTTTTTTTTTTTTAATTCTAGAACAATAAGCAAATGGTGGCAAAGTGGTTGAGGTGCCTCACTGTGCTTGCAGAGCTCACGGTCTCTGGCAAACCCATCCTGCAGGCTGTAGCTCATCACAGAGGTCACAGAATCACAGAATCTTAGGGGCTGGAAGGGACCTCGAGAGATCATCTAGTCCAACCCCCCTGCCAGAGCAGGGTCACCCAGAGTACATCACACAGGAACTCATCCAGGTGGGTTTTGAATGTCTCCAGTGAAGGAGACTCCACAACCTCTCTGGGCAGCCTGTTCCAGTGCCCTGTCACTCTCACAGGAAAGTTTTTCCTGATATTCACCTTGAACATCCTATGCTCCAATTTGCCCCCATTGCCCCTTGTCCTATCACTGGTCACCACTGAGAAAAGCCTAACTCCATCTCCCTGACACTCACCCCTTACGTATTTGTAAACACTGACGAGGTCGGGCAGGTGATGGGGGCAGATCTCAGTGACTGCTTTTATCCGAGTTCCTGGCTATGTGCTGGCTCCACCGAGCTGTCTAGGTTTGGCGAGCAGAACCAGGAAACCAGTGGTGCCAGTATGCTCAAACTGGAATGGAAAGGCAGCCCCGAGACCGGGGCTAGCACTGATTTCTGAGGGCCAAGAAAATCCCTCCTGAGTAAGCACTTGTTCCTTTTCGAAGGGACAGGGCTGTACTTTTCTTCGGCCCACAGCGTCACCTCTAGACAAACCTGTTTGCTTGGGCAGGGAGCTGAGGAGCGGGATTCAGGGGCTGCCGGCGAGATCCCGCTGCACCGGGGCAGGCAGAGCCGGGCTAAAACAAAGACTCTGTGAAATTGACTCTTGGTTATAGACTGCGACTTAATAAATTTCAGTATATGTGGAGATAACATGCATCCTTTAACATAATATCCATCAAGCTTCTGGTGCAAACTGTATTGTCCACACTTGGGTTTTTAAGGATGTATTGCAGCAAAACATCAGGCAAGTTGTTGGTTATGGCTTTGTGAGAAATTTGGCAGGCAGGGATGTGAAGACTCATCTGACAATTTAATGCAGAATTCTTTGTGGGCTCTTTTCTCCTCCTGTCTCCCAGGAGAGCTTGATCATTCCTTTTCAGGAACTATGATATTTTTGCAATATGTGTAATTAATCAGAGAACACAATGTAATTGAAATACTAATTACATGCGGGAGGAAGGAGGTGGGTTGGGGTGCGGGAGGAAGGAGGTGGGTTGGGGTGCGGGAGGAAGGAGGTGGGTTGGGGTGCGGGGCGGGCAGGATGCGGGGAGGGCAGGGTGCGGGAGGAAGGAGGTGGGTTAGGGGTGCGGGAGGAAGGAGAGACAGGACCAGATCTGCCCGCACCGGGGTGGGCGTGTGTCCTTTTTGGGGCGGGGGGAGGAGGAGCCTCTCAGTCTCTGCGGTATTTCTTTTGGGGAGGGCGGAGGTTCCGCGTTTCCTCGCAAGCCACAGTCATTTTGAGAAGCTCTCTCGCCCGGGAGGACTGCGAGCTGAGGGGAAGCTCTGAGGTTCAGCTGCTAATTTGGGGTCCGTGGGCTTGTTTTTGCTTAATTTCTCCTGCCAGGGAAGGCTTGTGGAACCTCCTCATCGGTTTTTAATTGCAGGGTTGAAAGGGACGTGGGGGTGGGGATTTGGGTGGGTTTGGGTTGGGTTTTTTTCCAGCACTTGAAAAACATTCAGTGCCTGGAGACCACTTGTGAAATAAATGCTGTTGTGTTTTTATCTCTCTGGTTAGAGTGTGAAGGAATATATTGATGGTGCCTTCCTATGAACAGAGAGGTCAGTACCTGAAATAAGTGGGTTCCATGTCACCTTTGGGTTTGTCTAACATAACTACGTGTTAGATTTACTTAGATTTAGTAACTTTTCATTAGAAGACTTGCTAGTTAAGCTCTATGTTTTGTATTCTATGTGTAGTGCAAAGTGCTAATAATAGGCTTGGCATTAATGCACACAAACGTACTTCATGAATGCATCAGTAATTAGAAGAAAGATGCCTACCTTAATGTTCTTAAAACCTCTTACATGTCTTGCTGAAACAGCCTGTATGTATTAGTGAAGCTGACCTTGCTTCTCTGGCAGAAACATCCAGCAGTACTCCAGCTGCCAGCATTGTGTCCACATGGCTGTGTCTCTGTTGTGAGTGCACATGGCATCAGGTAGTGGGCACCAGCCCCAGCTTGCCCGCTGATCTCATCTCCTGAGGCAGCAGGAGATGGTGAGCATGCATCTGCATGCAGAGCTCTAGGAAATGAGTGTAGAGGCACCTGAGGGTGAAATCTGCTGGTCGTTTGTGTGACAACATAGACACACCCCTTCTAGGCAATAAAAAGTTAGTAGTAGCAGAACACTAGGTAGTTCTTGAGGAGAGCACAGAATTTTCATGTAGCATCATCTAGTTGATGAAATGAGATGGAGTCTCAACTGATTAGGGCTCCAGGCCTTAAGAGAGAATCACCGAATCCTTGCACGTTCCTTAAGCATTTCCCTTTTTTCTTGTTTCAGAATGCTCACCAGAACCCCAAGTGTCATTGCCCAAGTGTTTCTTTTTCTAAGCATAGTTCTTGTCATTGCTATTGCAGTGATTCAGGTAAATCAGCAACAGACCCTCTCCCCAGGGTTTAAGGTAAGTTGAACATGTAAAGAAGGAAAACAACGTTTTTAACTCCTATTTAATATTGCTACTTTATAAATGAATATTTATTATGTGATTGAAACGAGCATACAGCCCTCAATTAATTTTTAATCACATCTCTGCCATCGGAAAATTGAAGCTAAGATAAAAGAGAACTGGTCAAGATTGCAGAGTCAGTGGCAAAGCAGGAAAAGCATTCCTTGAGTCCATGTCTGTGATGTCTATCACACAGTGTCTTCTCCAAGACTAAAAGGCCAAGTGAGAAGAAAATCCCACTGCTTTTTTAATTTTGCCAGAGATTGAAAGTAATTTTAAGATAATTTTGAAGTGGGAAATACCTGGAGTTTAAATTCTGCCCCCAAGCACAGCTAGGAAGTTTGTTCTGAAGTCTCTGCAAACTGTTCCTGTGTGTCAAAAGCATTTGGGCTGTGCACTTTATGACATGTTGGGACTTGCTGAATATTAACAGAAGCAAAGTAGCTTCATGAGGAGGGCAGAACAAACTGGAAAAGACAAACTGAAATATTCTGTCATTTAGGCTTTGCCTTGTGCTGCTGCAGCATGTGCAGATCCTTCAGTAAAGTGTGTACTCAAACTGAGGACAAATCTGTAGAAATTAGCCTTCTAAAGAAACTGCGTAGCCTGGCATTTTGAGTTCTGTGTTTCATCTCAGGAGAGCTACAAGCATATAAACCTTGTCAGATGCTTTGAAGTCCTTGTTTTCTTTCCCTCTGTGTGTGCACTTAACTGGATAGTTCACATACTGATGGCTATAGGCTAATGTCCCTGAACAGGACTACAAACACCTTTGGCTATGTCTGAATCATTTGTTGGTGTTCAGGTCAGACAATGGTATAAAACTGTATTCTGATACTAGTTTTATGTGTTTGTGTGGTGTGGCAGGGTGTGTGTGCTGGGATCTCCCTGTTGTGTCCTGCATCTCTGCTTGCAACAGCCTTACATCCTGCCAGTTTTCATTGAGGCATGACTGGACTGACATGTAAGCTGAAGCCATTATCTAAATGGCATCCTAAACAACCCTTGTGTTTGTCATTAATTCAGTTTCACATTCAGAATGAGGAAACTGCCTTACTCTGAGCAAACGCCAGACCCACCATGACCAGCTGGTTGAGATGGGGAGGTCTTCTTCCTGAATCACAGCAGCTTCATGGCTGGTCCTGGAGAAAGACTGGTGGTTCCTTTGCTAGGTGCTTTGGCTTTGGGTTTCTTTTTGGGCTGCAAGCCTGCCATTGCATAAAATCCCAGTTGATATAGGAGGTCGTGTGTTTGATTCCTGAGATGCTGAGTAGTCCTAAGGAAGTTACTCTTCAGGAGCAGAGGGAGGACCTTGGTGTGCCAGTGCAGAACTCCCCAGCACTTAGCTGATGTGATGGAGCCTGGAAGTGGCAATGTCCTAAACTTAGCAGTTTATTTAAATGAAATATGGCAATAACATGATGAAAACAAACATACTCTTTGTAAATGGCCTCATTCTTCTTCTGGCTCTTGTCCACAAAACCAAAACAACTACTGAAGGATAACTAGAGTTCATGTTACCTGTGGCATAAGAGCTCTTTCCCAGGATGCCCACTGAGAACATTCAGGTTCATTCCTTTGTGGCACAAGGGAGAAATGACCTGTCATGCCACTGATGTTGTAAAGTGTTGTTGCAAAATGAAGTATTTTTGTTCCTTTAATTTGCCCCTCCAGGTGCTACATTTCTCAGCGTCTAAATTTTGCACGTCTTTTGAGTCTTAGGATACATTTTGCCTTGTTTGTAGATGTTATACTTGATTAAAAGTAATACAAACCTATGTAGCTGAACTTCTGAAGTCCACTTCTAGCATGGACCCACTCTTGTAGCCTCAGTCTTCCACGTAACTAGTCCAGCCTTGTTAGCCTCCTGTGGCAGTTTTCCAAAGTGATTGGAAGGCAGGTGAGCTGTCATAACTGCTTTCAGGGCTCATGCATCTCTACATCCTCCTGTGGAAAGGGATTCAGGTGAAAGGGTAATTAAACCTGGGGCAGCTTCTTACTTCCATTTTGGGATTGCAACACTTCAGGATATAATTACAAAGCCATTTGTATGAATATCCCTTATCTGTTTGGGCCACAACCAGATTGGTTGTCACACAGGTAGTTCTTGCAAGGGAAGGACAAACACTTGATAGGGGAGGGATAGTTGTCTCCTTAATCAGCCCAGCTGTGTTGAATGTACACTAGGCAACAGTAAACCCCAAAAGAAGCATTTTCCTTCAAGTAACTTTTTTTCTCCCCTCTGCTGGACAAGAAAACAGAACTTGGAAGCTTTTCTGGGTTAATGTCTGCCTGTCTTCTCTGACTGATTAGTCCACTGTCTAGACAGCACAGTTTTTGGATATTGGGGAATCATCGGGCCTTTATATCTCTCCATTGGTGGCTGAGTGGAGATGATGGACATCCTCAGTGGGAAAGTTGAAGCAGAGAGGAAGGGACGGAGAAAAAGGTTTTCTGATCTTTAAGGGCTGCTAGCCCAGGATAAGGGTTTTCCTGTGCTCAGTCCCACACAGTGCATTGCAAAACAGGAAGGCATTGCTTGTCCTCAAAGGGCAGCCAGAGGTGATTTGACTTGCGACTTGGGCAGAAATGTAACATCATCAGAGAATTTTAATTCAACCAGTTTGTCTTAGCAGCCGTCTGAGACAAGTCATGTAGAATTCTCTCCCTCTCTTTAAATGCTGCATCCTCTGTCATTTTGATTATTTTAAATAAAGATTAATCTTAGTCCTAACACCTGGCACACTTCTTAAGGATCACCACTTGGTGAGGCTGCATGGGCAGCTCTGAGGAGCTTCAAGAAGCACCCTGAAATGGGCCCAAGAGCCCTGTTAAAAAACAAGCATCTCTTTGAAAGTAAACAGGAAGATGTGTAGGAAAAGTAGAAGAAGGAAGAAAATTAAATTGTCAGTCAAAAATTGGTTCACACAAGTGTACTACTATACTTAGGGATGGAAATCTGTTACTTTCTGGAAGTAGGCTGGGAAATGTAGAAGAGGATGGAAGTAGGTCAAAAAACCCCACAACTAGCTGAGGTAAAAATACTTCCATTGTCTTCCAGCTCTACTTGGGCAGGATAGTTGGCTCTAAATGTAAAAGCTTATGGTTGGCTCTTAGAGCTGACTGAGACTAGATTTAATTAATAGCCTTTGAGCAGATTGATAGTTACTGTATTATGTGTCTCCAGAGCACTCATCTGTCTTTCAAGGAGAGGAATCCACTCAGTATCTTTGCTGAAGTAGTAGTTTGAATGAAACCTGATGGTACAGTGATTTGGTAGTACGTGTGGAGCCTTTCACCTCTTAGTTGATCAGGGTAAATAATAATGTGGATAAATATAAGCGGAATTTTCATTATCTAACAGTCCTCTAGGAAACAGACTAGATTGGTGTTTCTGGTAGTTCTTTGGGGGCCAGGAGTTTCTAGGATTACAGTGGAAGCTGGGAACTGATGAGGTGTGGAAGCTGAATGGTTTGCCACCTGAAGCAGTGATCTTTCTTGGTCAGACTTGAGACTCCCCGGGAAGGCAGTGGGATGAAATTTACTGGCCTGTTGCACGGGCTCTTGCTGCTTTGCAGCCAGATGGAGGCTGTCATCTTCCAGTATTGTCAGGGTCCTGGGCATCTGTCTTTTTAAAAATAAAGTTGACAAATTAACCCCACACTGTGTGATTCCTACCAATCAGATGGCTTCAGAAGAGGGGGGCAGCTGAATGTACTTTCAAGGATCATTAAGAGGATAAGCAGAACTGCAGCTTTCTATCCTTCATGCTGTTTGCCTTGCCACTTAGTACAGTTTCAGCTGCCAGAAAAGATGGAGAAGGGGAAAGACTGGTCTGGTGAACAGTAGAATGGGATGGAGAAACCTGTGCTTTAATTCCACAGAGACTCCAAGTGAGCTGGGGCAAGTCAATTAAATATTTATCATTTATTTAATAAATAAACACAAGG